GGTGGCCTTAACCCCACAATACAACAGTTGTTTGCGGAAAAGGTATCTACTAATTCAAAAGATACACTTATATTTTTCATTGTTAAAGCTTTATTTCCTTCTACTTGATTGTCCTGTTGCAGGCATGATCAAATAAACATGGCAGATGATAACAGTAAACTCCACTGATTATTTTTAGTTTGAAAACTTTTTCCTGCAATGTTGTCCCTCAAGTGTTGATGGCAACTCACTAAAGAAGACTCATGACTAAACTTATCCTTTACAAAAGCTTGGGTTAGGTTGATAGCCCTTTGTTAGTCATTTCATTAAATGCAAGCTAGAAGCTACTGTTTCCTTTTTTGTTTTTTCATTTTTCCCTCTACGAATTTATTTGGATTTCTTGTGTAATAACTAGCAATATGTTGAATTTTGTAGGTTGGATATGCTGTGGTAGAGCATCTGACTCTCTCGCAATTTCTTGAGTTGATGGGAATAAGGAGCAAGAAACCTCAAGAGATCTTGAGTTTCAGATGGCTTTGCTCTCTAGAAATTTGTAATTGTGGTAACTTGAGATACTTGCTAACTCTTTCCATGGCACTGAGCGTTGTTTCTCTCAAAAAGATGAAAGTACAAAATTGTGAACTGCTGGAGCAAGTCATCTCAGAAGAAAGGGCCAACTTGAACGACAGCATTGTTTTCACCAAACTGAATTCTTTGGAACTTAAAGGTTTGCCGAGACTTGAAGGCTTCTGCTTGGGTAATTGCAACTTTGAATTCACATCTTTGGAAGATGTAATTGTGATGACATGTCCATATATGATGACTTTCGCTAGGGGAGAAGTAAGTACACCAAAACTGCATAAAGTGAAATTAACGGGAGATGATGAAAATGAAGGATGTTGGGAAGGTGGTCTTAACCCTACAGTACGGCTTTTGTTCACGAAAAGGTATTCATTTGCTCAAAGGATTTCCTTTTGTTTTCATTTTTTGTAGTTCTCTTGCGATCAAATCAAATAAGGTGCAAGGTTGTGGTAACTTCATAAATTTTAATGTTGAAGATTTTCTTGCAATTTTTGCTTTCCTCCTTTAAAACGTTCCTTCTGACCTGCAGAGAGTTGGTGACTCTAAAGAAGACTGAAATTTATGCTTTGTAAAAGCTGGTGTTGGTTTGATTTTCAATATGGTTAGTGGATTCTCTGATTCCATCAACTTTACTTTTCTGATATTTCCCATAAGGATACATCTCTTATACAATCTCTACATGTTCCTGATATCTTCTTACTGACAGGTCATATGGCTCTGGATTTTAGTGGCTGCAAGTTGCAAATTTTCTTGGCACCTATAATATTATTTAGATTTCTAAAACTAGTCGTCAGAGTTTTTGAACTCCTTGTGTGACTTTGTTTTGTTAGTATTTAATTTCATGTCCTGGTTTGGTATTGTGGTGGTAAGGACAAAATTTTTTATTTTTGAACATGGTAAGGACAATATTTAAACTTTGTGTTATCAGAACATATGTATCTTAATACAGAAAATGTGGTGTGTCTAAACTTTGGTATTGTAGCCTCTAGACATTTTTCTTTTCTTTTGTTGGCTTGGTTTTTAACATGATGTTGCAACAAGATTTCATATGAATCAAGCTATATCCATTGTCTTATTAACCTTAGTTGTAGTTTCTTGACATCCGCAAATCCTGATGATGTTTGGGTTCTACTGGTAAGGATTATGAATTTCCATTGTGGAAATTTTACAAAAAGCAATTCAGACTGCCACAAAAAGGAAAGCAACGTTAAGGTTTGACTAAGTGGTTTGACAATAAAAACACATCATAATTTTTTCAGTGGATATTTATTTTTTTAATAAATAGTTTGATTCTTATCTTGACAAACTATTACAGAAATAAAAAGTGCCTTACAATCACATTTTCTTTTATTAATTGCCAAAATT